TTTATATTACTCTTAATTATTCACAGGTTTAGAATTTTTCATTACTTTTTATATTAAATTATTAAGCAAAATATTTTTATGAAATGCAATTAAATTGTTCTTAATCTAGCTTCTTTAAATAAAATTTAATTGTAAATTAGACTCTGTTTGATACAATCATAAATGGAATTACAGTAAATCCTTAACAACTTGTATTTTGCATATTTGCAAAATTGTATGTTAACTAAAATTTCTTGACAATAGAAAAATTATAATTAATGAGTGTTTACAATACCCAGAAGTCTTTAAGATATCATGCATTATATTATTGTAGTTGATAAGTTACTAAAGACTGTACATGGCTATATACTGTAGTGTCATGAAATTTTTTAGATCATTTCCTATAAAAATATAACCTACTAATGCTCAGTAAGACTTCTGTGAAGAGCTGCTCATAATAAATTGCTATACTGTATATATTTCTGTTTCCACATTATCAGAGAAAACACTCACTAACTAGGACAACCTTCATCTTCTTTTAATCTTAAGTTAGAGGGAGTTTACTGTATTTATTATTGAGTGATTTAATAAGAATCTTAATTTAATTAACTTTTTAATATTGTACAGTACATATCATTATCAGAGATGATTATCAATATAAATTTTGAGTGAATCATTTAATGACAGGTACTTTTATTAAATTTTACATTTTAAGTATTAATTTTTCACAATTTTTAAATGCAATTAAATTAATCTAGATTATTTAATCAATACTCTCCTAATTGTCAAAATCAAAATTTTTTCTGTAATTTGATTGGAAATTGCTGAGGAAATCTTATATCAAATTATTTTATTTCAGAATATACATAGAATCATCATCATAAATACAGTATGAATAAATATTGTTCTAAATATCACTTTTGGATAGCTGTTTTTATGTTCAATGTATGTCTTGTCTCTTTAATCCAACATTAAGTTCAGTTACTATCATTACAGCTTTCAGGTTAGACACTTCTTTTATTGTTTCCACATATGCATTTTTGGACTTATATAAATGTTAAGCCCCTCTTCAGTGCAATACTATGGTTCTGTTTTTTTAAAAACTTTCCGTTGTACACTGTGGTTTAAAAGACAGAACCATAGTATTGCACTGAAGAGGGACTTAACATTTATATAAGTCTGAAATGCATATGTGGAAACAATAAAAGAAGTGTCTAACCTGAAAGCTGTAATGATAGTCTACCGAACTTAATATCGGATTAAAGAGACAAGACATACATTGAGAATAAATATTGTACAATTCATATATCACTTTAATATGTGTAATATAATACTTTTACAATTGGAAATTCATTCTTTGAGTACTTAGTTTGGTAAAATACAAATTCAATTACTTTTAAAGTATTTCTTGTTTAGATACAGTAATTATCATTTAGATTTTAGGAGTGAGTAAATGCATAAAATCAAGCTATAATGAGTGAATAAATGCATAAAATCAAGCTATAATGTAAATTATAAACATAAATTTAATTATGTTTAAGCTAAATACTAGTTCTACTTATCTGACATAAACATTATAGTTTTATTACTATTATTAATGAGAAAATACAATGTCTGAACTTAGTCCAAAGTTTTCTTATCCTAACTTTAAATATTTTAATAGTTTACTGTAACAATAATAAAGGAGGAAAGGATTAAATTTATATTTCATAATTGCATAAATGTATGTAAAAGATGAAAACTTGATTTTCTGTATTTTAATTTTTTTAAAGCCATACCAACTGCTGTGTAATATCAGGCTATATTCCAGTGATAATAATTTGAATTACTGATTAATTTGTCCCTAGAGGGAAGCATTAGGTGCCACCTTATATTAAATTTAATAATTATAATTTAATTAAATAATTTTAGAATAATCTGGAAGAAAATAATTGGCCCGGAGCAGGACTCGATCCCGCAACTCTCACTTGCTGTGCAGATGCATTGCCTTGCAAATGCACTTGGCTCTATTGTAATGAATTGGGTTTTGGAAGATGTTTCTATTTAATTTTTTTTTAGGTTTTTTAATTAGAATTTAGTACCAGTCTTCTTGTTTGTTATGATTTGTGTGTGAGTCTACATTAAAAACAAAACAAAAAAAAAAAGTTGCTTCTGGCCTTGCCTGGTTATCAGGTGTGGTCCCTTGGCAATGGGGGGCCAGTTCAAAAAACTGGTAGTGGTTTTGCACCATGAACTAATGCAAATATTCTGTAGCATCTTGGCATAGTTTTAAGAACTATTCGATTGATTCTAGTTGCAAATTCTTTGCATATCCCCTTATCATAGGAATACAAGCATTCAAAATAAACTTTTAAACAATAACCATTTTGTTTCTATTAGCCTAAAATGAAACAAAACAAGATTACTCTAGAAATCAAACTGTTTTTGGAAATAATCAAAATCTTTGCAATAATATTTGGGTGAGCACAGTTCAGCAAACATACACATTGAAGATCTTTTAATTTGATTACATAGCTTATTAGCTGATTGTGTTTAACAGGCTAACTTGCATTCCATAGTTTTGTATAGTTCTAAATTTATTAGTTATTAGTGTGGTTTTTGTTTTGCATAATCAAGACATCACTATGGTGTCTTGAGGTGCCTTCACATTTTGACTTATATCTCAGGAACCATACAACATGTGGGCTTACTGTTTTGCATGGTTTAGTTTAAGATCCTTAGCTACCTTTGTGCCATTTCTAATTGAAATCCGAGGGGGTCAAGCTGCAGACTTTGGTCACTTGACATGGAATAGCCCATTTATATTATTTGTATTGAACATATTTTTGAATATTTGGAATTTCTATTTTAAATGTAACGGTATTCTCTGTTGAATGATAGAACTGTTTTTTTGTTTTAAATCCAGATGAGGATCTCTAAATAGTGCCCAAAAATCTTAGAACTTTACAGTTATTTGCTGCAAATTGCATATAGGTGTTAGTTTCATTTCTGCACCATTTGTATTATTATTGTTAGAGAGTACCAGTATTGTATTATTGATAACATTGCCATAAAAATTAGTGCACCAAGAATGAGTTGTCAGAATCGAACAAAATTGTACATGTGTGAGTGTAACAGTGATATAAGTAAGTGATTACAAAATGAAAGCAAAATGATCATTTATTGAAAGAAAAACTACAAATGAAAGGGGGTTCTAGTATTCTGTTGGGCCATGTCTAGCATGAATACACAATGTGATACATGCAAGCATGGAAGCATACAGGTGCTGTATGTTGTGCTGCAGCATCTCAGTCTGCAGTTACTGCAAGAGGTCCTCTAGTCTGGCAAAACTCCTAGGCTCCTGTCCAATTTGGCATCCCAGGTAATCCCAGACATATTTAATTGGTGACAAGTAGGGACTAGGTAGTCCAGGGAAGTGTGGCAATATGACAGAGGCTGTCCTGTGACACCCTTGCTGTGTGTGGTTGAGCATTGTCCTGTTGGAAAATGGCTTTTGGGAGCCTTGCCATGAGAGGCAACATGTGTGGCTGCAAAATGTCACCGACATACCCCTGGGCTGTCATGGTCTCTTGGATCACTACTAGAGATAACTGGTTGTCATATGTGATGGCATCCCAGACTATCACACATGCTGTGGAGCTAGTGTCTCTCCAAAGTGTAAGCAGGATTAAGGCATTCACGGGATCTCCAGTTTAGGCACTGACAGGTCATTGTCAGTGCCTGAACTGAATCTGGATTCATCTCTGTTGATGACCTGGTTCCATTCTGTTGCAGTTCAATCCCATTGAGAGCAACATTACTCCAAACAGAGGTGACTATGGATGGCTTTTAATGGCAGCAGATATAATGGCTGCCATAATACCAAACCCAGGTGCTTCTAAATGGTATGAACAGATGTGAGGTCAGCCGATTAGGGTGAGTGTTTTTCGACAGCCGAGCGGTCCGTTCTGTCGTGTGGGCGCAGAATGACTTTCTGAGACAGGTTTACCATCTTTAACCCGTTTATTATATAACAAAAGATTCTTACAACGTTCTTCAAATTTTCAACATAACACAGCTCGGGGAGCAAATTAAAAGTTCCTTCAAGGGTCCGATTTTCTCCGTTTGGTCCTTCGATGTCGTACGTTGAGATCGACGGCCCCGGGGCGTGCGGCACAGCTTCGGCGAAAGTCTCTGGTGAAAGGCAAATCTGTGCAAATCAAGACGTCATGGGAGAGCGACAGTAAGTCACAGGAGTTGATGAATCGGTCGCTGTTGATAAGTAGGATCACAAAAATCCTGAAGAGGAGCACCAAGAACCAAGAACCTTTGTCCCTTGAGTCGTACGGTTTTATAGATTTCTTAACTGTCGTCGCCTCTCCATTGGTCTCTCATAGTCACCTGGTGACAATTCGAAACCTAATGAAGGGCGCGGGAGAGGTCAACATTGCGACTGAACATGATTCCTCTCTCTCGTCGCGTTTTCCTCGAATTTATCTGTTTCTATTGTTTAACAAATTTACAAAAAAAAAACAATTGCATTGTTCAATCGAGACACCTAATCCATTTCCTTAGTGTCTGAAAAGGCGCTCTTTATTTTAAATCGACACCCATAATTCGGACCTCTCAGTCGACCCCTGTTCGGGTCCTCACACAGACACAGGGGCCTGTAATGATGGCACCATTTGTGTCTGGATGGCAGACAGCAATACAGCAGTGGTGTGCCGTCATTGGAAGCGGTGGATGCACCGCTTCCCTTGTATTTTTTAAAAAATAAATATATATTAATTTTAATTATATGAAAATAATCGCATAATATTTTATTATAACTGCATTATGTATCTTATTATAAATTTCTATACTACACGTAAAAAAAAGAGATAAGATTGCTATTGTATATTCGAATATTAGTGGCGGAGTGGAAGTGCCATATTGTTAGCATCCAAAAAGCCGATTCACGCACGCACTTTACAAAGCACCAACCTCACCCAGTTTAGCTGGTGGAAGCCTAGGTCCTCAGGTGGATGCTATACATATAATGCATCCAATTCTATCCAGGACCAGTTCT